TTCGTTAGCCAAATATTTGAAAACATTTGCACTGGACTTGGCATACGCCATATCAAAATGGTTCCGTATAGACCACAGGCAAACATAGCAGAAAGAGTTAATAAAAATATTGTAAAAATAATTCGAAGTTATGTTAGCACACATCACAAGCGCTGGGATGGCTACATAAATGAATTAGAGCTTATGCTTTAAGAACGGCAATCACGATACTACGGGAAAAATTCCAAGCAGAATTATTTTTAGGACGGAAGTTAATTACGCCACTTAGATAAATTATTCTTTGTGCAACAAAGAGAGCAAGAATTTAAACAAAAAAGATGTGCAAAAACTTATTGATCCAGGCGGTTAAAATTTCGGATACGGCAAGAAATAGGCAGAAATTATACTATGATAGAAAACGCCGTGAAGCAGATTTTAAAGTTTAGGGATAAAGTGTTGAAGCGGAAATTTTCTTTATCAAGTGCCCCAGACAATTTTACTGCAAAGTTAGCTCCAAAATTTGAAGGCCCCTATGTAATTCAGGAAATCAAGGGAGTCGTATTGTACCTTAAGAACGAGAGAGGGGAAATCTGTAAAGCAAGTCCCGACCAGGTGAAAAAAATATATAATCAAAATGATTTTGAAATCCTTAAAAGTTTCTTGCAGGACTCAAGCGCAAAAGAAGTGGAAGGTCCAGAAGTAACGCCACCCGCTTCCACCACCCAAGAAGCAGAGAACAGAAGAGGAAACCTAGCCCTTCTACAAGTCATGCTACGGTCCCGAAAAGAAGAAAGGAAAATAGTCAGACTCCAGCATTCAAGAAATGCAAGAAATCAGCGCCGCCGCGTAAAGAATCTTTGGTAAATAGGAAAAGACCAGTTACAACGTCTCGCAGTAGAAATTCTGCGTCGAGGAAACCACTTCCAGGGCCAGATAGTCAGGAGCAAACAAGGCCGCCGTTCACGAGAACAAAAAGACAGCAGGAGGAACGAAAAGATTGCCACCAACAGAAGAAATTCAAGCAAGATTCCAGACCGGAGGACCGCCAAGACCAGCCGTCCAGGGGCAAAACGGAAAAGACAGCAACCCGAAGACTACCACTCCAAGAGGCCGGCGTACAGAGGGCGAAAAAAAAAAGTCACCATGGACGAAACTCGAAGAACCCAAAGGCGAAGATTGACTTCTATGAATTCCATAACTTGGGATCAATTCTGCCAGAAGAGGATGTCGGAGTTCCAAGCATCGAAAACTCAAAGATAAGTTAAAATCTTCTATACATTTTTTCTTTTGTTCTGAAATGTTATGCGTAAATACGAAGTTCTATGTTTTGACGGAAGTCAATTTGTCTCGGTTGAGACTTAGTTTTGTTTTACTAATTCTTAACCGAGCTAAGGCAAAAGTATTATTTTCTTTAAGTGTAAAATCTAAGAGCAAGCAGTTCTGGTTGGTCGAAAGACTAATTCTGTTATGTTAAAGCCAAAATTTGGCCGAAGATAAAAATAACTTCGTATTCTTGTATTAATAAAAATTTAGTTTCAGTGCCGCCAGCTTGGCGAAGAAAGAGTGAAAGTAAAAATTTTATTTTTATCTTATTCATTTTATGGTAAATTGTAAAATTCATATGTATTAGAATTTTGTAAATATACGTAAATACTTGAAAGTTATGTAAAAGTAGAATTTAGTCTAGAAGCATAAAATTTTAGATGCTAAAAGTAAATGCTCAAAAGCAATGAATTCAAATTTAAGTATTAAACTGTAGATAAAATCATGCTTTAGAGCGAAAGCCTGCATGTCTAAAGATGAATGAGGGGGAATTTAGAATGAATGTGTTTTGTAGGGTTCTCCACCTACACTTGAATTTTAAGAATGTTAAACATAGCTCATCGAGTTTCAGTATGTCGATTAAGGTGTGTCTATTTGGTCGTTGAATTCTAACAAATCATTGTGGTTAGGGGAAGTGTTGTAATACAAAAACACGAATATTCCCGTTTGACACCACACATGGTGGAGAACCAGGGTAAAGTTAAATTCATGTTTGAATACTTGAATGAATGTGAATTAAGCAGTTAATTAAGGAAAATAAAACGATTCGAAAACGAAAAACTTTATCCAGTGTTAAGAAAGTGTAAATCATAATGTATTTAGAAGATACTGATACTTATTCCTTCCAGATGCTGAAAGGAAGAGAAAAGATTGATTGCTGAAGACCAGAAAAGGATCCTGTAAGAAGAGATGGTAAAAGTATGCGTCTACAGAAATTATTCTAATTTATACGAAACAGTTTGTTTTATGTAAACGAGGCTCTTGAGTTTTAGATCAGAATGTGGAAACTTTTTCAACAGGTCGTTTCTAGGACCTGCTTCCAAGTTTACCAAATTCTGGCAGCGGCAAATGTAGGGTTTATATTTATTTTAACTAACATTTATTTTAAGTTTAAGCTATCTTTCCTGTCAAGCCTTTACTTTCCCCTGGAATTGCCAATGCCAGAGTATGTAAATTTTAGTAGAATGCGCAGAGTATTCAAATTTTTAGCAGAAGTAATTTGAGTTAAATAGAAGGGAAACGAGATTTGTAAGTGTGCTTCTTGATTCACGAGCGTGAAGGTTGCTTGGTAGAAATTTAAGAACCGCGCGTTTCGGCCTGTGTGCCTACTTCGGCAGTTAGTTGAATCTTTCAACGTCTTAACCAGAAAGTTTGCTGAATCTCAGCTGTATCTTAGAACGCGGTTAAGATAGTTACAATTATAGAGCCTCGTAGATAGTGACTTCGTTAGTTATGCATCCTGTTATTTATTTTTAGTTGCACTTTTCTATTTTTGTTACACCTCCGGGTCGGCGTAGTTTGTGAGCGTCAAGTGAACGCAACTGTAAGTTCTAAAGTGAAATGAAAAGGGATTAAACCCTTCTTACGAGTTTGTGTAACTTCCAGGTCATAGCAGTCACTACTACTGTTGCGGACAAGTTGGGGCCACGCAACATCACAATTTATTAAATATCATGTTCTTCGAACTTACCATGAAATTCACTTCAAAAGCAATGTGACAAAATAATTTTAAAATGAGCCTATCTTTAGAATTTCCGATACACATTAGCGCGCGCTGGAGATAAAAAGGTTCCCCTCCACTCGTAGATTGTTGCCATTGCTCGTTTTCAAATCGTTGAGTATGTTACTCAAAAATTCGTTAAAGTTTTACAAAATAGGAAAACGATCATAAAACTAATTCCAAATTTCAAATTTGGGCTTCCACATGCCCATATTCCAAGTAGGATTACGTCATTCAAAATTCGATGGCTCTATTTACTGTTGCTTTATCACAATGCAAGAAATATACATACATATAATTCAGATTTTTCATTATTTAATATCTTCAAATATAATGTAGGACTCTAACATTTGGTGGCAACCGTTTGAAAAGTGAAACGGACATTTATAGTGAACCAACGCAAAACTAAAACAATAGTCATTCGGAAACAGAGCCCTTTTGGACTAAAAATATACCGGTCTACTATAAAAATCAAATCAAGGTATTGATTTATAAACACAAATTTAGTTAACTTTCTTGACGACAGATGATTTGTTTACTCAATATATGTTTGACCTGCTTTAGAAAAGATCAATTCGCAGGGCACTGATGTACCCGGGATGCAAAATCTAATTAAAATGAATTCACACAAAGTGGGATATATTAGCTTTTGGGACTCCCACCCAATAAGGGTTCATTACTTATAGGTAAACCGAGATACCGAAGCTGAGTAGACGCAGAGCTGAAAGAGAAAAGAGCTAATAATCAAGACTCCGCAGGAACCAGATATGCGACTACAAAAGGAACACCGGAGCGATGAAAACAGCAAGGACAACTTATAAGTTGGCCTTGAAAATAGCATATCATCAAGATTCTGAAGAAGGAGCCAGATCTGCAGATCTGCGGCTAGAGAAGGAGCGATGATATACTCTTCAAACAGAATGAATTCCTCTTATTCACAATGAATATATTTAATTTATTCAATATAATTTATTCAACATATAACTTTTAATGTTAGCAATAGGTGTAACCAGTTCATTCACAGTATATATTTTGAATCTTATGTACTTTCAAAATCAAAGGCATGCACACACTGAGATAAAAAAACACTAGATTCAATGTAACATTTCCAGTTATTCTCAGATCAATAAAAAAATTATACACTTCAATTCTCTTACACCACAGATGTTAGTAAAGGCATAATATTCGAAGCTAATTGAGCTTGTGGCATTACACTCTATATAAAGAGCGATAATATGGCGATACATTAATCCGAATATCAATGGGTGATAAATTTCGCGAAAGTAAAATGTTGACGACTAGATAAATTTATAAAATGAAAGCATTACGAGATTTTCTACTAAAAAATAGCAGCATTTATACGCAATACATTTATAACTGCGAAACAAATGCAAAATAAAACGTGAACAGTAACATACTCTCATATACAGTTTCAAAGATTCAGCGTCAATAGAGCAATAGAAGCTCGTTGGTCCATTTTCCAAACCCCTCCCTCAGTGGCGATACTGATAAGCACTTGTGAATTATGCTAACCGTGAGCCGTAGGAGAAAATATAAAAAAATAATTGATTATAGCGGGAATTATATATGAAAGGATTCATTGTAGCACTGATGCAGTAAACATCAGCAGAGATGAAAGCATTTGAAACAGTGAACAGTTTCAGGTAATGAAATCAATCATTGTTATGCATTGCAATTAGGTTTAAAGGCTACATCTTCTAAAAGAACTGTCTAGTTTTCTATACGCTTAATACTATCATTACACGATATGATGAAAACATGTAGGCACATTTATCACTCAACCTACAATTCATTTCCAAATCATTTTACGGACAATATCCTTGTCAAAAGATACGTTCGCTACTAAAAGTCCACTGTTGCTGCTAAATAAACTGTCGTTCAAATTTATTCTGAAAAATTTTAATATTATTTATTAAAGGAGTAAAGAGACAACCAGTTTCAAATAGCAGTTACTCACTTGTGGTTTTTTTGGTGGATGCATCTTAATAAGACTTTCACTCTTTCGGGAGGCCGAAAGATCCATTTCTGCACCTGAAAGAACACGGAAAAATTCTCTCAATATTTACATTATAAGAAGACGCTTTTCATATTTGGTATTTTCAATTAATCTGAATGTTAACTGGCTGACATTATAAATAAAGGAGGGAAAAAAAGAGGGAAGAAATCTGAAAGATTTCAGATTTTAAAGGTTGCCCAAAAGGGTTTCTTACGCTCTTGTTGAGCTCGCTGTCTGCCAGTCTGCTGTTATACTCACCTTCTACTAACCCATTTTTTTTTCTCTTTTTCTTTATTATTAAGCCTTGTTTTCTTCGTACTAACACCTATACAATTCAACAGCAAAATTACAAAAATTTTATCAGCAGTATATTATTGTACACGTTTAGAATTCAATGATGCAGAAATGTTGGCGTAAATTTTTCTGTTTTTTTTTTCTGTCTTTTCGCCCCTTATCATATCAGTGTCCAGTTTTCTTACTAAGATGGCTTTGCAAAACCTTCGTTTTTGTCTTTTTATTATTGACATTTTGCGTGTTTACTTTATTTATTAAATATTACGTTCTTGGCGCTTACACCACATAAAATTAGATTCAAAAGCGAAATCGCAAAATGTTTAAAAATAGCATATATTTAGAATTTCCGATAGACAGTCTCGCGCGCTGGAGATAAAGTGTTGCCATTGCTCGCTTTGTAACTGTAGAGTTCTTTAATCAAAAATTCATTAAAATTTTATAAAATATGAAATAGACAATAAAACAAATTCAAAAATTCCCCCCTCGGGCTTCCAAGTACCCATTTTCGAGTGGAGGACAATGTTATTAAAAAGTTTATAACTCTAGGTACCATTGTGTTTTCACAATATCAGAAACATATATACATTCATGCATATTTTCCAATATTTAATTTCTTTATAGATAATATTTAGTGACAACAATTTGAAAAGTGATAAATCGTATTTAAATGATTAGACGCAAAATGCCGTTTCGAGACTAAAAGCCCTTCTGGGACTAAAGCCCCTTTGGGCTAACGATTGTTTAGTATCTCCGTTCGATTTGCAATTTGAATGATATATGATTTATCTTAACACCAGAATAATGGAGTTGCTTTACGAGGAAAAATAATTCAATCTCGGATATATTTTTAATCGTGATTGCTCCTTAAATTAAAAAAAATAATAAAAAGAAACAAATTTTTTAACAATACTGTACACTTTCTTTTTCATTCGAATTTAATGTTAGAAGAATAATAAATTAATTAACATAATCTAACCACGGAAATAGCACGAATTTTCACAGAGATTTACGTTTCTGATTTGTACATTATAATGCTCTATTTCTTTTTATAAGCCACAGAAGGCAGAAAAAAAGTAAAATAGATGAAGAACGAAACAGAACGTATAAAACAACAGAAAAACTTAATCACAGCATGTAAACAGCCGTGCCATTCATAGCTTCATTAACATGAAATTCTCAGGTGTTTCGATTATTTTTATAATTCTCCATCAGACAGAACAGATGTTTTTCCGATGAAAGCTACTAAACACATTTTCGATTTATTACTTTTAAATAGAATGATTAGGGTTTCTTGATTAAACAAATAAAAACTTATTCTTACATAAGTGTTCAATTTTATGATATTAAAAATTTAATCTTTCAGGAAAGTTTCTGTTTCGAAATCGCAATTCTATTTCTTCTAGACAGCTCCTAAAATAAAACGACAGTTATTCAAAAATGTTCTTCGATTATTGGTAGGTTATTTAGACAGAATGTTCAGTGAAAAGATGATTTTTGGTATTAAAGACGGGTGAAAATGTTATTCACAGAGTATTACCAGATAACAAACATATTTGAACGAAATGAGAGAATAAAACAAGTGTACAAGCTATAAGGAAAGAGACTTCATTTTTTTTCCTATGTATGGCTATAGTTTTATTGAATTAAGGAAATGAAATGAATACAAAGTAATATCGATCAGAAGTCAATAAGATAGTGTGCGTTTCTAAGCAGTAAATTTCATCACAACATAAAACATTACTTGAAACTTTGAAATGCATTCCTGTTAGTCTCTTAATTATTTACATTTACTTACAGTAAATTCGAATTTAAAATAATTTAATCCAAATGATTCAGGTCTCACAAATTTAATCTCACAAGGAAGAGACATTTAAAACTCAAACAAAGTCTCGGTTTCAATCTTATTACATTTATTACATTTTTAGTGTATCATATAATTTCTTCAAGCGTATAGATAATATTTATGAAGAAAGTATGAAACTCTCAAAGTATGACCTTATTATAAACCACAAATTCCAACGTCTTCCCATCATTTTACAAAACTCAAAGTAATTGCCAGTTCTAGAATGAATTCTTCGTTTAGTCTTTATTTCAGATATACAATGAGTTATTAGGTTAATTGGAATAGCTGTAGAGATGAAAAATGAGCAAATACTTTTCGCCGGGAATCGAACCACGGACCTCTAGAATATCGGCCCAACGTGCAGAACGACTACACCACGAAGGCACGCTAAAAGGCGGGAGAAATACATTATAACTTAAATTACTTAAGTCAACGTTTTAGTAATAGCAATAATTACCGATTTATTAGCTTGAAAGTTAATTCAAAAGGCATTAGAAGTGGTTGCAACTATTATCCGCAGATGGTATAAACCGTCATTGTGAATATCGGATGTGAGATCAAAATGTTATGTACACTTATAAAATAATTTAACTCGAACTACAGATTGATCTCTTTCTGAGGGTACGTTTGTGCATGATTTAAAATCGCATAATTGCATCTTATACATTGTAGGGTATTGTTTTAATTTCCAACCAGTTATTTTATGTTAAACAGCTTTCCTAGCTTCTCCATTTCCATTTTCCTGCCAGGATGTAAATTTTTAGCTCGCATGATATCCAAATGAGGTAGAAAGATGAGAAAGATTTAAAAGAATGTGTTAGAGGGTAGAATCAGAGCGTGTTCTGACTGCTGAAAGCCACGTTGCTAATTTGATTCTCTTGCTAGTATTTTGCGGCTTTGCGTTACTCTCGCTATTAGGCTTGCTACGCCGACTCAGGGCCAGCTTGCGCTTTATTCTAATTGTACAGCCGTTAGACTAACTTACTTTTCTTAGTTTTAGTTAATCCATTAACTTTAATTTGAGCCATAATTGTTGGCTTTACAAAGCAAGATTTGTGCCGTCTGTTAACTTTTATTTGAATTAAATAAACTACTCTTTACGTCCTTTATCTGTCTGTGTGGCACTTACAAGACATGAAAATTCACTATTAGTTTGTACAACAAGGAAGAAGAAACATCACAAAACTAGTCCAAAGATTAAATACATTTTAAAGCAAATTAAAAGGCATTTCCGGTTAGGGGTTTGTTGTAGATATAAAACTACCTAACTTGATTTTCGTGCTTTTGAATTATAACAACAAAGGTTGCTTCAGTGCTGATAATGCAATTAATTGCAATTAATCATTCGGTATTTGTTTTCCGAATTCCTTTTATTAAGACTTACGCATTTCTTAAATGGGAGAGCGTAACGCAAAAGAAAAGAGGAACTGGAGATGAAACTAAAAGTTTAACGGCTAATCAAAATTAAATCGCTTGATTCTGTAACTTCTCCAGAAAGAAAGTAGGATATTCTGTTATTTAGCGGCACACTTATAAATATAATAATGAAGTTTATATCCAGTGTTTGAAGTAAAATTGAAGAAGTTAAAATCTGTATGGCATAATTGTCATTTTATTTCTCATAATTCTGAACCAAATAATAATAAATAATAGTACATTTATAAAAATAAATAATACACAACGATAACGATAACGATATATGCAAAAACGATAACGATCCAGCTATTTTAATAGTTTCTATGACTACAACTTCTTTAGTATACTTTCTTCTTTTCTTTTCTGACTTTTTTCACTTCAGTACTAATATTAAAAGGGGAGTAAATAGTAGAAGGCGGAAGAAGTTCCCATTCTAGTCAATATTTCCAACTTCTGCAAAGGCTCAGCGAAAGTTTGACAGCATTTCAATAATAATTTTGTTTGGTGAAGATTTCCAAATAGAGTTGATGCTGAAGGAAACTAGAATTCTTTCAGATACAGCGTAGATATAAAAGACGATGTCTGCTTAATAATAAAAATACATCAAATTGCCTTCTATTCAAAGTAATAGTAGGCTATTTCTTTTAATGGAAAATGCAAAGCGAAACGGTTCTTATCGATATTTGCTGTGCTTTCTGGAGTAAAAAGAAACTACCGAAAAAAAAAATAGAAATATTCTAAAAAATAAATACGAAATATTACAAATTTTTTGAGGGAAAAAAAAAAAAAAAAAAAAAAAAAAAAAAAAAAAAACATTAACAAATTAAAAATACAGGTGACTATTTTCACAAATTGTCATCAATGCACAATAAAGTTTCTGAAAAGTAAAATCTATGTATTTTGCTTCCGGTAACATTTATTTCCCAATTATGCATAGGTATATTTCTTATGTTTAAGAAGAAGAAAACATTTATCGTATCAGATTAAAAATATTTCACGAAGTGATTATTCATTTTTTACTGTTTATTTATCATTCATTAGTAAACTTATTTCCTCGCGGTTATCGAGGAAATTTTGCAAACGAAATTCGCAATAAATTTACCCGTTTTAACTGCATGTGCTAATCGATGTTTGGTATACCTTATATAAAAAAATAGGACTGTTCTATATCTCCCGTTCTACTAAGCCGATTGACAAAATTTAACTTCCATTTTTATATGTCTCGAAAGCGCGACTTCGGTTATATATTAGCTTTATATACAGCACTTTTCTAACATAGATATTTTGACACAAGATCGGACATTTTCTGAAATGGCATTATTTATGTTTTTTTCACATTTTGATTTCACGACTCAAATTATGACAAAGTGGCAGTGGCAAGCTTTGTGAAAATCGCACTAGTAGTTTTTAAAACATTAGCCCTAAAAATTTTAGTTCCTTAATCTTAATTGAATTTGGCATATATTTATTAATATCTCTTTT